AACTGGTGCCCGTCATAGGCATGTATGCAACAGACTACAGCTCTACCCTGGGCCCTGGCCCCGCACTCAGAGCTCCGTGATGTCAGCCCTGCCTGCTCACGGCCCCATCCCATCTGCCCAGCCAAGCACAAGGCAGAACCACTTAAGCAGTTTTGGTGAGCTGTTGCTGGGGCAGGGGAGGTGGTGCTGACCTGGCTCGCGACACCTCACCAAACCTCCCTAAGTGGCCCTTTGGCCCAAATAATTGCCCAACCCTTGTTTAGACACTGGAGTTCAAAATGTGAACAACAATAACCTTACTACCCTAGAAATCTGGAATAAGGAGAGCTGCTGTCTGAGGAATTAAAAATATCAATATTTATGTAAATGGATGAGAATAACAGGGGCGGCTGGAGCTGAGTTAACATCAGGTATAGCAACATTGAATTTCCAGATTCAAAGCTGTTTTCTTGCATGAGAAGATTTGGACACACACGTTTCCAGTACTCTTACTGGGAGTTACATTGGTTTGTACACACATATGTTTCCAAAGGCTGAAGAAATGTTTTGTATGAAAGGATAACAATAGAGGGGAATAAGCTGGGGTTAGGGATTTTGAAATCTTTGTTCCTACTCTCACCAACTTCCTAAGTAGCTTAGAACAAGTAATTAGGTTAAATTTTCATACTGTTTGGCCTTCCATTTCCTGGTGTAATTTGCAGATGCACTAAATCAGCACCTTCATTCCTAAATCTGTTTGAATGGTAGATAACAGGTTTGTTCTGCAGCCTCTGTGGGCATCATTTATATTTGAAATGAAGGAGTTTGAGAATGTAGGTTCAAGTATTAGCACCAACATTTAATTTTTTGGTTGTAAAAATACAAGGGCAAATTTGCACTGACACCAGGCCAGACTGGAAGACATCCCTTTTGAATATTTATCCCTTTATCTTTGATGGCCTGATAACAATCTCAGCTATACCAGTGTAGATCTTGTATAATCAGGAACTCATTTAAATGTCATTTCCCTGGGTACCAACTTAGGGCATGAGAATGGCAGCTCCCCCTGCTGCCCTGACCACTACTCCTGACCAGGGCACAAAGCTTCCTAGTTCCGCCTCTACATGGATGAAAAGTGATTACCGGTTGCTAGTGTTTATTAGTCATGCAGCACAGGCTACAGTTTAAACTGTAAGAGGTTTATTTCCTACTTTTCGCTCAAAAAATGGTAACATGACATTCAGCTTTATTTTCTTTGTTCTTTTGAAAATACTAGGTATATTGATGCTGCAAATGCTTTGGAACAAGAAACCAAATTAGGTTTACGCGGCTTTGAAGTTTGTGACAACGTTGATCTTGAGACTATTTTGATGGAATATGAAAGCTATTACTATGTCAAATTCCAAAAATACCCTAAAATTACCAAAAAGATCCAAGACACCGGTATGTAGTTGTGTTCCAGAAAGAAAGCTTTTTATCCGTATCATATATGAAAGAGGCAAGGGTGATGGGTGATGTCTGGTATTGGACTACCTATGTAATTGGGATAAAGTTTGACAAACTTTCAAATGCAAGACATTTTTCATCAGGTCTCTCTATGAAGCGTGCTTTTTAAGCGTCTCCTTGTTTAATCTTGCTTCCACCTGGCTCAAGTTTTCAAATTGTTATAGAGCTAGAGGTTTAGTGGTTAGAGCACAAAACTAGGCACTGCGAGACCTGGGGAATGTTCCTTCTTCTGCCTGCCCTTCTCTGAAATGATGGAACAAGCTGCTTAGGGAAGCTATGGAATCTCCTCTCACTTGCTGACAGTTTTCAAGGGGAGGTTGAAAAGGCATCTGTCTAGTGTGATTTAGGAACAGCTTATCCTGTATCTGTGCAGGGGTTGGAGCAGGTGATCTTCCCTTTCAACCCTGTATTTCTATGATTTTTAATAGGAGCGATGATGTTTATGCATCTTCCTAAAACTGCTTTGATATCTACTTATAGCAACATAGACATACATGGTGCTTTACCCTGCATGCTACATGCCAGATTCATAACAAGCCATTGCTTCAAAGGGAATCCACAGGAACAAGCAAAAGCAGGACAGAATGAGACGTGTCAGAACAAAGGCATGTTTGAGGTGATACTGAGAGCTTGAATGCTGTTGAAGTGGGATGCAGCAGGTTTGCTTACGGGGGATGATGAGAAGCATGATAAAAGAAAAAGCAGAGTTAGGAAGATGTGAATGAGACACTGATTTCTCCATATCTCTGTCTTTGAATACATGAAACGAATTGTTAGGGAAGGAGCTAAGTGAGACAGAAATGCTGCCAAGCCACTTGAGTTGTTTCAAAAGCCTGTGGGGAACTGTGAAGGTCCCAGGTAAATGGGACACCACTGAAGCATATAAGTGTTACTATTTTTATATGGATAAAATGCTTTTGAAAACTACCAGTTGTGTTGACATTCACTGTGATGTAAATTTTGTAAAAGATCAAAACTGGCTGGAAGCAAATGTTATCTGCATGAGAGCAAGATGTACAGCCAGGGTCTTGTGCTTTGCAGTCAGAAAAGAAAAAGAATCCTCCATTTGCATAAATAGGGGAATTAATTAAAAATCAAGCAGAGGTCACAGTTCCTGGTACAAAGCATTTGTTAAATCATGCTTAAGGCTGCATTCTGATACGCTTACTGATCCAAAGTAGGCCTTTGACCCAGAAGACTAAGCAAGAATCCAGGTATCCAAATCCAAGCAGGTGACCCTTTAAACACACTCCTAACCTCTGCTGTGTTGAATTTTTACCAGGAAGGATCACTAGGCACCCAAAGTTCTGCTGCTGCACAAGTGCAGAAGCACTGCTGTCTAGGCACCAAGCTACTCAGCCGTGCTGATGTGCCTGGTATGCCCATTTGGGATCTATGAACCAGACTTGAAGCACACCTAACATACTAACACTACTGCATCAGCACCAGGTGCAGCACCTGTGTTACAAGCGACTGGGCTGGCAAGGCCCCAGCCCTGCACAGTTCAGCTTCATCCCTGGTTTACTACATGTAGTATATATTAAGCTTACAGAAATGACACAGTGAGTGTAACTTAACAGCCCTTAACTGCTGTCAGCCAGTTGATCGAACCAGCTAGCAAAGGGGAAGTGCATAGGTGCTTACACATCCAATGTATAAACATCTTTTATACCTTGGTTATACATTGAATACCTATAGAAACTACTTACCATGTGGAGGTGTACCCTATTTCACCACTTTGGTATACGACAGGGCAGGATGGCACCTTAGAAACTAACTTGTTCAGAGAGGCATACATTTTTGTAGGCAACAGTCTATTTCATCAGATGCTTCTGATGAAGTAGGCTGTTTCCTATAAGTGTTTATGCTTCTTTGAATGAATTAGTCTCTGAGATGCCACCCTGCCCTGCCTTCTGACTGACTTCAGACCAGTGCAGATAATTACCTCTCTCTACTTTTGTATGGGTACCAATTAATTATCCCTTTATTGTTAAACCTCCCTTCATATCCCCCTATCTTTGTTGAAGATGTTACTTGATTTATCATCTTCCAGGTGTGATCTGCAAAGGCTGCAATACTCCCTGCTCATTATTTTGGACAAGCTAACCAGGCCTGGTACTGCCTTATTCTGGCACCTTCTAGGAAGGGAGTGGAAGGGGAAAAACATGATTAGGAGCTGAGACCTTATTAAACTAAAGAGGAGAGAGGGCAAAGATGGTGAGGTCATCTAGAAGCTTAGGCTTTGTTGAGCCAAGGTTTTGCTGAAGTCTTAGCAAAAGAGTGTTGGGCCCAAGACTTCTAGTCTATCCAGCAAACCAAGTCCACTTTCATTCAAAAACATGGCTGGAGGAAGGGGAAATGGTGGTGCTATCTGCCTTTTATAAGACAAACTGGTAGCCAAAATGCTTGCCATGAAAGTAGGAAGTGGTGTCAAGTCCTTCATCAACCTGATGGGGCTCAAATCCACATCTCTCACTTCTGACAAGAGTTCCCTGAAGTCTGGGATAGACTGGGTTGATAGCCCTTTCCCACCCTTGAAGCTGGGCCACTGAGCAGCAAAGAAGGCAAGATGAATTGGGCCAGATAGGAAGAGCAAGAGTGAGCACGACTCTCCAATCCAGTGAATAGGGCACTTTCCTGGTTTCAGATTGCCCCCCAAGGATGTTTTGTACATGTTACAGAAAGGGAAAACTAAAGAGTCCTGCATAAACAGTCCTGAACTTTTCACGTGGGCCTTCCAAAATCACTAGGTTTGTACAAAAATGTTTTTAAAAGGAAGTTTATCAAACTGTCCTTGTCTCCTGACCATGACTTTCCTCTCCTAATATCTTATTTCAACATTTATTTTGCCATAGCAGAAAATAAGCAACAGCTAAGAAATGGAGGGAGACCACGAAGGTAAGAGAAATGTCACTTGGCTTGAACACAGGGTAGAATGTTTTTCCCAAAGAGTAATATCCATTTAGTTACGTGATGCTCTGAAAATATGTAGCCAACGTAAAGCTGTGCTTAGCATGAAATCATGCTGCAAACTAAATGGTGAGATCTTAGCATCTTGTTTTAAAACTGAACAGAATTCTTGCTCAGACTGTGTGCTGTTTTCCAAAGTGATATGTGGAGAGTTTGCTAATGTTTCTGAAAAATCCCCTCATTGTTGCACATAAAGTGTTAGGGTGGGATTTTAAAAAGCACTCTGCATTGAACTTTGCTTCCACTGAGATCAGATCATAAGTTCAGTGGGAGAAAAATTCGGTCAACACTGTGCTTTTTTGAAAATCCCAATTTTGAATCTTTCAATATTTAGAGACCTGTTGGCAAGAAAATGAGAAGTTAAAATTCATATCCTGAAAGGCTTTTTATATCCTAGGACAGCAAGTAGCTCTTCTCATAATCTCCCTAGGATCAACCATCATCAAACAGTGCAGCGGCCATTATCAAAAACTTCATCTGGAAGGACAGCCGAGCCTAAACCATCTAGCAAGAATACCCCCAAACAGGTTCAAGTGTATTCTACCCTAACTGTTACAGTTGCCGTTGATATTGATTCTAGTTTGGACTGTAGATCAGTCAGTAAGTGACGAGAAAACATTTGGGGCTTTCTTATCAAGAGTTTCACCAGTTGTGTAAATTAAATGTAACCGCTATAAGCTTCCAGTGGGAAAAGCAGTCTGGGTAGGAAGGTGGGAAAGAGGCACAGAGAAGAAATGAAAGACGAGAGTATGTTGTATGAGGCCTGATGCAGCACCCACCTAAGTCAGAACGAGTCTTTCATTAATTCTAGTTTTAAGGATTTGTCATATGGTGCCAGACAGAATGAAGATTACAGACCAAGGAAGAACAAATAGGATGTCCAGCCTCAGTCACAGGCACATTCATGTAATCCAGTCTCATGCATCTGAGTTGTGGGATGTAATTTTTTACCACAGTTTTCTGCTCTGTGAAGCTGGTCTGAGAGTACAGGCTCCTGGGGTCACTGCTTTGTTACTTACATGGCATGAAGATGAATTAAGCTGCAGAGAGCAGAAACAGCAGGCTTCTGGCCAGTCAGAACAAGCCAGTTTGGTACCTTTCATTATCTTTGGGCACTGGAGAAGTGACTGAGAGCTATTTTTTTACTTAAAAATCCTTGTATACATGTCTGTGCGGAGGCTGGCTCTCATGGCCGCTTCTATGTTTTTTATCAATAAAGCTTCAAAGAAAACTTCAGTAGCAGTCTTCAGTAATAGGGCTAACTTAAAACCTTAAAATGTCCCTGAGTTGCATTTAAGCAGACGCACTGACTATTCTATCTGCATTCCTAGTCACAACCATTATTCCTATTGTATTCTGGTGCTCAGTTCATGGTGGACGTAAAGGTTTCTTCTTATTACTAACTACAGTAGTATGCAGTTTTTCCTTACTATACAGAAAATTCTTTGCCCAGGAAATGAATAAATATTGAGTGCCAGAACTGTGGTTGTTTTCATTGCTTTCAGCAGCCAAATGAACTGAGGTTTAAAGGAGCCCATTGTAACGTCCTGTGTTAGCACACAAACGTATATTCCATTGAATTGGCAAAAATAACCGATCAGCTGGGAAAAGTAATCATCCGGGCATGTGTGAAGAGTGATGTCTAAAATTCATCTGCTTGACAACACATATTTTAAATTTGCTTGTTCATTAGGAGCATGACCACACACTTACTCTGGAGCAATCTGATTTTGGCTTAAACATATCTTCAATAAACAGAAGTGGTGGAGGAGAAAGCGGTCATCCAAGGAGGGTTGGTAGAAAATATATACACAAAATACATCTGTGAGTTGTTGTGGGAATGTGTATGACTAAAAGACCCTGAAGCTGTAAGCAAAAGACTGACATGAGCCTCTTTTGTACATGTTTATATAAAATACTGCTGTTGAGGGACTGTCTGAGTGCTTCACTATATGTACTTTGGATGGTAACTTTAATCCTTACTCCATTTTGGACTCTGCTTAGAAACCATATTTAAAATAGGCTAGACAAGCAAGAGTGCATATTTCAGAGCCCCCTCTGCATAGCAGAAATGAAACCTGGATGTAGAATCTTTTTACATTGCTTGAAAATACTGGATAGATGGTTTTGTACTTAAAGCATGGCACTGAACGTTAGGAGAGCTGGTTTCTTTTGCCACAGCCTCAGCTGATTTCATGTGTGACTGACAGCAAGCTTTCATGGCTAAACTCTGCCCTCAGTTATGCCTGTTGCCTTTTGTAGGTGTAGAGCTGTTTTCCTGCTAAGCTGGCTTTATTCTTTGTAATTCCTGCTGATTTAAATTGTAGAATGAACCTCTGTTTAGGAGTTATTAAAGCTTATGACATTGCCCCTCTTTCCTTAAGGGCCAATTAATTGACTTCCGTGGGATGATTCAAGACGCCATCAAAGGATCATCAAATGAAATAGCCTTAAACAGCCTTAACTATGATCCAGATCCTTCTGTAAGTGCTTATGTTTCCCTCAGACCAAGTGAACTTTAACTGTTCATTGAAGTATACAACTGGGAACAGAACTAAAGCAAAATGCCATAATAATACTGTCCTGGCTTTTGATACCAAAGACTCGTTTGGACTTCTAGTGTAGCTTATTTCCTTGTAGGGTGGACACTGACACTTAATATAAGCCTAATTTGTTGACAGTTATGTACTCCCTGAATGGAGCATACAAATTGTATAATAAAGTTCACATATATAGCTGAACTGCCATAGCTCCAAAGAATAACTCTGGGTGAAATCCTGGTACCACTGAAGTCACTGGGCACTTTGTCATTCACTTCAGTGGGAACAGAATATCCCCCTCTGTCTTCAGGATACAGGCAGGAGTCTCCTGTCTCACTGAATTTGTCAAGATGCTGCCGTCTGTCAGCTCCTCCTTGAGCATACTTTAAATATTTGGAGTAGAGATCTGCAGTCAAGGTCACCACTCCCTACCACAAGCCAGCACTGATAGCAAAATCAGTCCTTCTCACCCAGTGCCTGCCTATCTGTACTATTATGCTTGAAAAGAACATCTTCCTTTAAAACAACACGCAAGGCAATATGATATTGGGTTATTGCAGGGCCCCTGGCATGGCTCTATGAGCTATCGTGGTGCTTGGGCCAGGTGCCAGATGATTGGAAGGTAGCAAATGTGGTCCCCATCTTCAAGAAAGGGAAGAGGGAGGACCCGGGCAACTATAGGCCCGTCAGTCTTACCTCAATCCTGGGGAAACTCTTTGAGAAGATCATCAAGGAGCACATTTGTGAT